GCTGGGAAAGCCTCTGCAGGGCACCGGCATGCTGATCAGGTGGCGGAGGGGGTGGACCACACTGCCGGGACAAGAGCCTCCCGAGTCCTTTGCCAACAGGAGACAGGCTCAGACCCAGACTTGAAATGGGCACCCGGGCCCTGCATCAGTAGATGTCTCATCCTGTCGTCTTGTATGCCGCCAGCCACGATTAACGATGATGTGTGTGTATAGAGATGGTTCTTCATCCTCACCACCAGTGAAAAATGAAGATTCTCCTTCTTGGCTGCACACTATGCAAATCTCCCTCTGCGTCCTCCGGCCTCAATCCAGGAGTCATATTCCTCACATGCCTTTCAGATCCTAATGATGCTAATGGAGTCCATGGAGATGACTGCATGGCACATGGGATTATTAATGATCTTAGAGATAATTTTAGAAAAAATATGCTGACAAGTAATGAATTACAGGGTAGTTTATCTCAGAGCAAAAAAATAATTTTTTTTAAGTTAGCATATGACCTAAATGACCTCTATTTCTTCTCTTTATGATTAGTGGACCTAGAAACTAGCTACTCCCCCCACCTCCTGCTAGTCCCCCTCCTCGGCTGTCCACACACGACTGGGAGGCTGACACAAGGACTTTTCCAGTCCTTTGAGCCTGGTCCTGGCAAAGACAGAGAAGACAGAGGTTCAAGGCCAACTCTGACCCTGGATGTCAAGCATTTGACTGCAGACAGACAATGTGGTTCTCTCCAGGGATGTTGTTTTTCTGGGTAATGTTGTCTTGGAGGTGAAGAGGTAGCTTAAACACAGCAAGAGTTCCTGAGAACAGTGGCTCTCCCCTTAGCCTGGATACTTAACTGCATTCTTTTCTTTGAAATCTTTACTTTTGGATGGGTGACTATCGTAGGGACGAGAGAGGAGCTGACATTAGGTGGCAGTTGTACCTCACAGTCAACAGTGAATTTAACCTGCATTTTTAGTGCTTCATTTTTGAATCCCACGTATCACGTGACACAGGCCCTGACCTAAAGCTGACCTGTAGGACACGTAACGGGTTGAAACTGGCATCCTTTACCTTGTCTATCTGTACGTGATTGGCAGAGAAATGGGTTAGGAATCAGGAGAGCAAAATTGTAATTTTGGATCTGTCTTTTATGAGCTACGTGTAACGGGAAACAAAAATAAGTTTCCAGGGTTAATGAAAAAATTAATGAATGGATTGTCTCGAGTTTGAATGCTTCAACTAGCAATCACACGATTACAGTTTTTAAAAAGAATGATGGGCCACGTACTGTTTTTTAACAAGTCAGAGATACATATAAAGACACAATATTTTCAAAAGTCGAGTCTTTTAGCGTGGCAGGAAGCAATATTTAGAATCTGATCTAATGCTTTAAATGCATTTGTTATAGCTCCAAGATTAGTCTTAAGCCAAGACAGGGCAGTGTTTTAACCTCCACCACCCAAATTAATGTGTAATATCCAGGAACGCTGGCAATAGCACGCCCTGGTATCCACCATGCACCGCTGATTGGTCACAGTGAATATTAGAGCAGAACGGTATTATCAAAACGCTGCAGACAATGCAAACTAGAAATGCGTTCTCTGAAAGGGATGAGAAAAGAGGTTAAAGAATGTCAACTCCGAGAGAAGACATTAGGCCTGAGAGTCACCGTAGAAGCTACAAATATCACAATCTATCTATAGAATAATGGATTTGCCAAGACCCAAGTTCAGTCTTCATGTGACAAGCACCTATTAGACGACATCACAAGAAAATTACTCAGAAGAGATATAAATACATGCAACTTAAAAAAAATATGGCTAACTTTTAAAATAGCTTATTTATAATGTGTACTATTCCTACTATCAAATGAGATAAAACTGGACTACAAAACCTAACGATTGTGTGTGAGCGGCTGCAATGCTAAGTGTTTAGTGTTGGACAGTTAAGGTTGTAACACTTCCCTGTTATTTTTCCACATAAAATCTAGGCTGGTAGTTGTGAAAAGTATTTGGTTTTAAAACTGAACACCCAAACAAAAATCTATCATAAATATTATTGTTTGCTTCCACTCTTTGGCTTAATGAATGTTTATCAAGAAAAATGCATTCCTGGTTAACAATGGGCACATGGAGAGCCAGCATGTATACCAACGAGATGGCTGTTTATGACTCCAACAGATGAACCATCCACAGCCCCACGGCAGGCCTGGCAGCAGCTCCTCTCCTCCAGCGGATTCACCGGATGGGACGACTGCAGGAGATCCTTTGGGAGGCTGTACCATACTTCTGATTCTAATTTCTAAAGAAGTATTTTTTTGTGATCATTTGGAGAAGGAAACAGTGGAGTCTAACAGAGATCTGGCACCATCTATGCTTTCCAAAAGTTTGATATAATTCATTGTTCTCATTTTTAAATAGTCAGATGAACACATGCCCTACAGCCTCTTCTAATTCGGGGATTTAGCCAAGCCTTTCCATTGAAGACCTCCATCTGCCTACCACAGATTCAGCATCCTTCCCTCAGGACACGACAATCTCCCCTGTGGCTTCCCTGACTGGATTGGAAGTTATTTCTAGCTGTTTCATAGAGTGAAGAGTTCTTTGAGACTGTCGCTTTGTAAAGTCGTCTGAACACCAATTTCCTACCAGAAGGCCCAGGGCCGTGTCTTCTATCCCCACATGCATGTGAACCCTTGGCTCCGAGCCTACACTGACACCTAACATCCCAGGGCCTGACAGTGTTTCAGATCCTCTGCATATCTGACATCAAGGAATTCCTGTTCATTCTTTCAGCCTTAGTTAAGTATTAGACATTTTTAATATCCTTTTTTAATCTAGCATTTCTATGTTTTGGAAAGCAGAAGCAACTAGCTTAGTTCACCCTGTTGTTGGAAGTTATCTGAGCTGGGGGCACATTCAAGAGCCTCTCTCTTCACTCAGTGAACTGAGATTTCAATCTGTTTTTATATCATCAGGTACCAGGTAAGTCTGGCACTTGAAAAAATTCCTGGGTTGTTTTAATTTTTTTCTATTCATTTAGATTCTAAAATCTCCTAAGCTAGAGATTCACTTCAACTTTACATTTATCAAGGATTTCCAGTGTAGTGGGTCACTGAAGATAACCAGAGGTATAAATCATGGTCTCTGACATTAAAGGAGCTCATATTTTAATATGGGGTCCAAATGTGAACAGATAACAGATAACAGTAAAATGATGTAAGAAGTCTATTATTAGAAGTATGAGTGGAATGCTTTATAGATTTGAGGTTCTTAATGCAGCATGAGAAAGTCAGAGACGATGGAAGGAGATGCCAGTGGTGCTGGATTATGAAGGATTTATAAGTGAGTGTGCGTGTGGTAGTGTCTGTGAGCTGGTGGTGGAAGTAAGGGCATTCCAGGCAGAGGCGAGACTGCTGACGCCAGAAGCAAACAGCACTGACAGCGACAGTGTAGGAGTCCATGATATATCACAAGGCCCTCCAGAAATCACAGGCTATACAGGTTCATTCAACAAACAGTTGCTGAGGTCAACTTTGCTGAAACCATCTGCCATCGAATAACACATCCCGCATGTAAATATGGTAGTGATTGCAGCTCTTTCCTATTTTACTATTGAGAATATTAAACATTATTCATAATTTGAAGGTTTAAAAAACTTCCATTTTTTCAAAATAAGGCTAATTATATCAAGTTTTAAGAAAGATCAAATGCAAAATTGTGATGGAGATTGGCTCTATGATCTTCTCACACAGCTCTCCTCACAACACTCAGTTCTTCACCCTCTCCCACCACCTACCACCCCACTCACTTCAAACCCCGACCCTCCACCCTCCTCTGCTTTCTCAGTAAGGCAAAGTTAAGACTCAGAACCACTCTTCCCACATGACTGTCAGGGCTGCGTGATGACTAAGAAGTCAGATGAGTCACCAGAGATTGGAAGAAAGGACAGGAGGAGTCAACGATATTTCCCTAAGTAGGGTAGGTGATGGCACCAAAATGATGTTAGAGAGATTGTGGTAAAATTTTCTCATTAATTCTCACATTTTTTCTTTGTATATTATGTAGGGGTCACAGAATGATACAACCATTGATCATGTCAGTATCCTGCACATGGGAGGTGTTCAAAACATGTATGTAGAATGATTGAATATAATTTAATTGAGTAAAACATACAAAATGACAGGGATTACTTGCTATCTACAAGCAAGAATGAAGTTGGATACCTGTCTCACTACACATGCAAACATTAAATCAAAGACCTTGGGACGGGTCAATGGGGATGACTGCTAATAGGTACAGATTTCTTTTTTGAGTGATGCAAATGTTCTGGAATTAAAAGTGATGATTGCACAATTTTGTGAATATCAAAATTGTACATTTTGAAAGGGTGAATTTCATGGTATGTCAATTATATCTCAATAAAAAAATAGACGCAAAAAACCAAAACGAACAGCAACAATGAAACCATAGCCCAGAAGGTTAAAGTGAGGCTCTTATTGAGATTATCCACCTAGTCAGTCCTAACACTGAAGAGGAATATAAGTTAAAGATGAAAGAACACTTTTTAGTTAAAACAAAACTGAAGATGGTCAAAAGATGTACTGTATTTCAATAATTCTAAGATGCATATTTTTTCACATTTCTGAAATGCTTCTTATAATTGACGGTGTGTCATAGTTTATTTGGCTGCATTTTTTCTTTCTTCATGGCACATAAAATTGTGATACGTCTTAGAGTCAGTGAAGTGCAGTACTTTTAGAATACTGTGGCAGAGGCTGCTAGCCGTCTTTCAATATATGTTCTCCTCTTCCCATAGAGTAATAACATTTTTTTAGCTGGGTAAATGCCCACCCAGCAGAAGACTATATTCCCAGTTTCCTCATAGCCACGTGTGGCCACATGTCTGAGTTGTAGCCAGTGGTATGTAAGCAGAAGTAACAGGTGCAACTTCTGGTTTGTGCTCTTCAAGAGAAGGAGCATGCCCTCCCTTCTCTCCTTCCTTCTCTTCCCCTTTCCTTCTCAGCCCCCACTCCCCTTCATTCCTTTCCTTCTAAGTTGCAGATGTGATGGTAGGAGCTGAGCAGCCATCTTGATCCACGAGATTAAAACCATGTGCTGAGGGTGGTAAAGCAATGAGAAAAAATATCTGAGTTCTTAATGAATACGAAACCAATATTCTAGCCCTAGACTGACTATGGAGACTTATATGTGAGAGAGAAATAAAGTTCTAGTTTAAGTCACTCTTATTTTGGGTTTTTCTGCTACAGGAGCTGAGCAAATATTCTATCTAATACGAATGGTTTCTGACTTTCATTTTTCTGGAAGTAAACTATTATTACTTTTTTCAATGGGTTAAATTCTTCTTCTTCTAAACACACACACAAACACACAACTTGCCTGGGCCAAAAATGAGTTACCAATAGCAGCGTTTAGTTATAAGGAATGTATCGTGAATAGCTTTTCCATTTTCATTATCAGAGAAAGATGATTTCAGCGTACACTCAGTCTCTATTTCTGAATAATACCTTTGTTAGGACTGTCTGTTCAGTGCAACGGAAGGCAGCTTTTTCAGGCACTGAGATCTCTTGATAATGCTAAATCTGCCTTGTCAGCTGAATTCCTCAGGCTTTGTGTTGCCCAGTGGTAAAAATACATGATCGGGTTTCACGGTTAAGAAAATTTTTTCAGCAATACATGTACAGTCAAGTTTGTTCCCTGGATAGCTGAACATTTGGGTCATGAGATTTAAAAAAATGTCTCATGACAAAACTTTATGGAAATGCCACCATCCGAGGTCTCGCTCTGTCTTCGAGTGGTGAGGCTGTGGGGTGGCTGGGGCTGATGTCGCTCTGTCCTGACAGTCAGACTCTAGGTTCTTCATATCTGAGGAGATGGGACGGTGAGGAGGCCTGTTGGCTTGATCTTATTAATGCCACCATCTAGAATACAGATTCTCGGATATTTCATCTTCACGAGATGAGCTGCAAACTGGAAAAAAGAAGAGACCAAGTTTATAGAAGATGTACAAAATTTGTATTTCCCCAATCCCATTTTTTTTTCAAGCTGTGAAAGACAAAACTACTTTAGTGATACTACTGCTGTCACTGTTGTATCAATGAATCATTAATTTGGTTTTTAATATAAATTAAATCACTCGTATGTTGAGAAACAACTTCTTTATGCTATGGAGTAAAAGTGTCTTCTTAGTTCTTTTAAACGTGCTTGAATAGGCAATAAACAGACATGGTAAACAGTTTGAACAGTATAAGAGGGTAACAGTGAGAAGTAAATTCCTCCTCCCTCTGTTCTTAGCCTCCCTCTCAGAGATCATTAATATTCTTATTTTTCATGTATCCTTCCAGTGATAGTCAAAACACTCTCAAATCTATATTGACCAATTTTGATATTACTGTCAACTTATTGGTTATTGCAATTCCATGCACAATGTCCCAGAGAGGGCCCATAAACTGGCTGTAACATGTTTGTGGAGCAACCGCAATGAACAGTTTGAGACCATAAACTTGGAAACCATAAACAAGTGGCCACACCTAGCTATAAACTGATCCAAGAAATCTTCTAGATGCCTAGCAAGACAGGACTTTGAGAAGTTACCGGGACCTATACGTATCGCCGTGACTTGGCTGGTGTCCACCTGGCAGGATCACTGAGGATCTTTCTTGACTCCTCATGCTTCCTGATACGGCTGTCCTGAACCACCTGTAGCCCCTGAGGATGGCACCGCCCCAGGACCAGCCTTTGGTTGTGCAGGTTGCCCTCTGTGGGGAAGACACTCCACTTCCCACCAGCTCCTAGCCCCCCTTTAGTTCTCCCTCAAAAGCCCCCCACCTGCCTAATTTCTACTCATTCCCCTGCTTAGGCAATTCCTTCTCCAGGAGCTAAGTCTCCCTTAGGCGCCCCTCTTCTCAGCCTCCAAAATTTTTTGTGCAAATTTCTACCTTTGGCCTACCACATTCATTTAAATTGCCCATTAGAGAGCCTGCTTCCTCTTCCAGGCTGTGAACTCCCCTAGGACGTGAACCTGTTCTGTTTCTTTTCATTCCTCGTGCTAGGCACACAAAAGGAGCTCAGTATATGCTTGTTGGATGAACTCAACTATGATGAATGACACAGAGCCTGGGGCAAGAGAATGAAGTAAAGAGTGTTTCTCCGGCTCTCTGGCCATTCTATCTCGATGTCCTCCCCTTGTTGGTGTCCTATTCCTCCTCCTTGGGTATTCGTGTCCTCACACTCTTCTTAATTGCTGTCTCATAACCTGATCTCAGATCCTTCAAGAAAATGACTAATACCTGCTCACAGTGTTATTGCTTCTGAGGAGTATTTGAAGCTTATAGTTGGTGAAGTCTCAAGCCAGCAGTCTAGACCTTATGCTTCAAAAGAATCAGGTGAATGGTTTGGTCAGGAGACGTCCAAGGTCTCACCCCAGAGATTCTGCTTTATTGATCTAGGGCTCAGGAATGTGTGTTGTTTGTTTTCTAACAAACACCACTAGATGATTCTAAAGCAGGTAGTTCGTGGACAATATTTTGAAAAGTACTATCTTAAGCAAAAGGATAACGGCGTTAAGTAGGTGGAAGAGATGTTGCTGGACTGAGATCTTAGCAATTTTCAAAAAAACTCACATAAATGGATCTTAGGACTGCTGACTCCATTACCTTCTCCATCATCCTGTGCGGTGCCTTAACAGAGATTCAAGCGGCTGTTCACATGTCAGAGCCTATACTCTTCCAGAGCCACCTGCGGGTATCCTTAACAGTCATTAACACTGCAGAGAAACAGTGCACCTGCATTTCAAAAGGTCTCAGGTGAGCCAGAGTGCCAACGTGAGCTGTCTTCATCTGTTCTTCTTGCTTCTCTCTCTTCGAACGCCAGTTCTCACCAGACTCATGTGCCCCGAGTCACGTGCAGGCAGCACAGCCCCTGGTACCACATGATCACTGAAACATCTTGGCTTCATTCTCCCGCATGCAGTAACACAATTACCGTTTAGGCTGGAATTCTAAGATAAACATACCATTCCTCAAAAGGCCTTGTGCATAAGCAGTCTTAGCGTTTAGTACTTTCAAAACACTGTAGAAGTCAGAAAATGAGTAAGGAAAGACTTACTGTACACTTAACTAATCTCTCTCACACTACGCTGTAGAGCTGGGAGGAGTTCCCACTGCTGTTGTAAGGAGGGACAGAACAAGCAGGCTGCTGTTGAGCTGGAAAATGGCAAAGCAGACGGAACAGCACTGGAGCAACCAGGGAACCACTACATGGGGGGTCTGAGAAGAAAGGGAGAAGGGAGTACAAGGACAGGCAAAGGTTTAGGTGCCCTGGAAAGCAGCAACGCTGTGCTCACGTAAAGAAAAACAGCAAATGTTGAGTTTTCAGGTCAGGATTGGGAGGTCTGCTCCTCTGCAATACTGGTCCTTCACAGTGAAGCCATGACTGCGCCTCTTCCACTCGTCCCATGGAAACAGCTCCTCTCTCCATCCAGTCACTCATCTGTTCATTCATTTATCCACCAGACATCTCCCTGAGCACCTACTAAGTACCAGGCTCTGCTGCAGTTTCTGCAGTGCTTACAGTCCAGTGGAGGAGACAGCAACAAACAAGATCAGGCGGCACGACTATTCCACAAGCAGAAGTGCAAGGTGCTTCTGAATTTAACAGGGGTTGGGGAGGCTGTTCCTGTCCCCATTCCTTTCACTACCGACACCTGAAGAAAGTGGGACCCAGATGTGACGGCGACACTGCTAACACTGATCAGCAGTGTGCTCTGTGGCTATGGCTTGACAGGGCAGGGAGGAGAGAAAGGGCTGTGATGTACACGGTGGTTCCACTGTGTGAAAAGGACCCCGTTTCTCAGGGAGAAGACCGTGGCGGAGCAGAGGAGGGCCAGGCGTGCAGAGTTCAGGGTTTCGTCGTCTCTCCTCTCCACCTGGCAGCTCTGGCACTTCAGTGAGTAACCCACAGGGCAGTGGACTTCGGTGATTAAGGGCCTAGTGCAGATGGCGGCTGCAGCTTTGGAAGAGGCCCGACTTCAAATGGAGATCATAGACCCAGACGTACGAGCAATATCCCTGGTGGCAGTGGCAGGACCTGTGGTTAGGAAGTCATCAGAATCATCCGGGTGCTTTTAGTAAACAGATACCCAGGCCCACTCCAGACCGGCATTAAGTGGAGTTCCCTGGGATGGAGCTCTAGCATCTGTCTTGTTTTAAGCCTTCCAGTGATTCTACTGTGTGGCCAGCACTGAGAATCACTTGATTAGATACTGGGATTCATTTGCTGCTTGGGATTGTCTGGGACCTCACACTGCAATTTTTCTAGGTATAGTCCTTGTGAGAGCACGCTGCTTTGCACTAAAGGAGGCTGTTGTGTTTGCAGGGCTGGAATTTGTGAGTCGTCCTACGTGGAGAGAATGGAGATCCTAAACCACACAACCAGCTGAGATCTATAGGGCAGCCTCCCACGTGGAAGTGGCAGGATCTGGTGTTTGCTGGGAGAGGATGTTGGGACTCAGAGACTATGGGGCAGGTGCATTTCTTGTGGGCAGTGCTCCCATGTGGAGAGGGCAGAGCTCTTGCATTGCAGTCATTCCTCTGGTGAGCAGGATCTGCTGGTGGCATTCATTTCTAGCACTTGAGTGGGCACACCTCAAAACAGCACCGTCTGGAAGTGGCAGGCTCTGGTGGGTGCCACCTCATCTTGTTTTCTCTCCTTATCTTCATCTCAGCTTGGACTAAGAGGCTGGCATGTTTGTCCAGAGGAAGTCAAGTTCTGCTGTAGTAGAATGAGTGGAGCAAAGGGATTTCTGATCTCCACAGAATAGTGCAGGTTAACTAAGGCCAAGAAATTAAAAGCTGAGGATAAGTAAGGTTTGAGAGGAGCACAGACCAGGATCCTGACGTTTCTCACTGGGTGTCCTGGACAGGCATTCAGGTGGAATCCATAGCACCAGCAGGAAACTAAGAACCTGGGCTTCTACAAGATTCCACAAGGAGCATACTGCAGGACAATTAAGCCTCTTGATGTGAAACTTCGGCCTTCTGAGATTTAGGTTCATACTGGGGACTGGACAATTGGCATGAGCCGACTGACACCCTGGCGAAGCTCAAACTGAGAAGTCTTTTTCTCTCTTCTATTTATCCATTCCTTTCTCCCCAAATAATGCTAAATTTGGGGTATGGAAATATCATTTTTGGTTGTGCGTGGAACGGAATGAGGGAACTGGCAATTATCCTGTAATGAGGAGCTGTAGTAATTTTATGTGCTTGGTTTTACAGATGTGAGGCTGATGCTATATTAGTCTTCTGTGTCCTCTTGACCCTCTGGAATGCTGAAAATATGGTGCACATTTAATACTTCTGGCACTGTGTGGGCGTGTGAACATCATAGAGTGTACTTACACAAACCTAGACGGTACAGCCTACTACACACCTAGGCTATGTGGTACTAATCTCATGGGACCACCTTCGTATCTGCAGCCCATCATTGACCGAAATGTTGTTATGCAGCACGTTACTAAATATTCAGTAAGCGTTCAAATTTCCAATTACTACATAAATGTCATCTATTCATCCATCCATCATCCACGTATTTATATTTACAAGCTGTTTATTTCCATGAGGATCCAAATAAGGTCCATACACTGTGACTGACGGGTGTCTTTTAAGTCTCCTTTAATCTATAGGTTTGTTCTCTTTTTCTCTTTTCATTTCTTTCCAGGAAGCCTATTCTCTCTTGAATCCACTCCAACCAGACTTTTGTTTCCATCACTCCCCCAAAATACTCTTATAAAGGTCAGCAATAATCTCCACTTGTCATATTGCCAAATCTAATTTTCAAGACTCAATTTGAATCTGATTTGACCCATCAGCATCATCTGACACACCTGGTCATACCCTCCTCTCTTCAAAACTCTCTTCCATTAATCTTCAGTATACCAATCTCTCCTAGTCTTCCTACCTCACTAGCTAAGT